CCTGCGTTCCCTTCCCCTTTTTCCCGTAACCTGGACAGGTTCAACAACATCTGGCCCCGGAATTTCGACATTTCCAGTTGTTTCAAGTTCATTAGCAGATTTTTCTTTGACTTTTGGAACATACTTTTTTAGTCGGTCGTGGTGAATGACTCTCTTATCATTTTCATTAATTTTGATGAGGTAATTGAGATCGTCTAACTTTTCCACCACCCGATACGGACCATGCCATTTAAGCGCGAATTTTGATGTTTGACCCACTTTCACAGCCGGAATATGAACCCAAACTAGTGAATCTTTTTCGTACGCTTTCAGATTGGTTTTCAGATCATAACCCCTCTTTTGCCTATCACTTGCCAATTGAATATTATTTGGGGCTACCTCATGAATATTGAGCATCATGTCTTGCAATTGCTGACAATAGTTGGTGTAATAATCATCATCCAACTTCCCTTGCTCAATCTCAGGAGGAGGCCCGAGTAAAAGGTCAACAGAGGTCCTTACCTCTCTCCCAAACATCAAAAAATTGGGGCTATAACCGGTCGACGCATGGACCGCACTGTTATATGCTGTCACCACGAAAGGCAAACATTCATCCCAGTCCCGTTGGTCAGTAGCTACAATTTTGGATAACATTGCCTCAACAGTGCGGTTCGACCTCTCTACCATACCGTCAGATTGGGGATGATAAGGTGTTGTCCTGGTCTTGCTCATCTTAAACATCTCATACAGTTCTTTAAATAATTTTGATTCGAATTGTCGACCTTGATCAGAGTGAATTTGCAAAGGAGACCCATACAAACAAATGAAATGTTTCAAAAAAGCCCAAGCCACAGTGCTAGCTTCTTGATTTGGAACAGGACCCAAGGCCAATATCTTGGTAAAATAATCTTCAATGGAAACCACATATCTATTCCCCAACAAGCTTTCTGGTAATGGCCCCAGAATATCGATTGCCACCCTCTCTAAAGGAGCACCCACATTGTATTGCTTCATTGGAGTCTTATGTTTGCGATTAGGTGGATTCCGCCTTTGACATAATTCACACCCAGCTACCCAACGAGCCACATCAGCCTTGAACCCAACCCAATAGTACTTGTTACGAAGCCTGCCGACCGATTTATTTACACCAAAATAACCACTATCCAAAGCCTCATGAGTGGCTTCTAGAATCAAATTTTGTAGATCTTCGGGTACAACCATTTGCCAATTAGTCACTCCCAAATCAGTGTCAACCCACTTTCTATACAACATTCCCTTTTCAAGTTTCATCCTGTCCCACTGAGCCCAATACTGCTTCAAGGTAAGTGACTTATGGGAAATTTCAGACCACTCAGGCCTAATCCCATCCGTGAGCCATTTCACCAAAGTTGCCAAGGTTTCATCCTTCTGTAATGATTCATCATATTCCCCAGGGGTAATACCAGGAGCCCAATTTGAACCAGAAACTGTGATATTCCACAAAAGAGGAGAAGAATCATTTGCTGAAAAGACAACATCAAGACTTACAACTTGCAGTCCCTCTTCAGGTTCTCTATTTTCATTAACCTGCTTAGAAACTCTACCCAAGTTTTCCTGTTTTTCACAGTAAGAACAGTCTTCACAAGGCCTCCTAGATAAACCATCTGCATCTGCATAGATTCTGTGTCAAGAATGAACTCTTTGGATTTATCAGGAAAATTCAACATGGCTGATCCAATGTACCTTCTCTTCAATTCATCAAAGGCTTTTTGACAATCAGAATCCCAATTGAAGCGAACGCCCTTCTCAGTGAGCTTGTACAAAGGCCTAGCAATACCAGAAAAGTCTTTGATAAATTTCTGATAATAGGAACAGTAACCCACAAAAGATTGAATTTGTTTGACAGTTCTTGGCACAGGCCACCAAACAATAGATTCAGTTTTCTTTGGATCAATTCGCACCCCTTGTTCAGAGACAATATGACCTAGATATGACACCTTCTTTTGGAACAGATTACATTTCTTCGGGGAAAGCTTCAGACCTGCCCCCCTCATCCGGTCAAATACACTCCCTAGTTTATCCAAATGACTCTGAACATCCTCGCTGAACACAACAATATCATCCAGATAGACTAGACAAGACTCTGGGGAAAGTCCAGCAAGGATACATTCCATCAAACGCTGAAAAGTTGCTGGCGCATTAGCCAGACCAAAAGGCATGACAGTAAATTCAAACAAACCATGTTTAGTACAAAAAGCAGTCTTTTCAGCATCAGCGCTGTCAAGTGATATTTGCCAAAAACCAGAGGAGAGATCAAGAACACTGAACCATTTTGCTCCCCCTAATGAGTCCAAAGTGTCGTCAATCCTTGGTAAGGGGTACGCGTCCTTAATAGTCACGTCATTCAATTTTCTAAAATCTATACACAGTCTATAAGATCCGTCTTTTTTCAGTACCATCACCACAGGTGAAGCCCATGGGCTCTTCGAAGGTCGAGCAAGTCCATGTTTTAACATTTCGTCCAGGGTCTCTTGGTACCCGGCTTCTTTGGATAAAGGCATTCGCCTCACGGCCTGTTTAACTGGTCGAGCATTTCCTGTATCAATTTTATGCTTAATTACATCTGTCTTGCCCAAGTCATACTTAGTTTTGGCAAAAACATCTTTATGTTTCAACAGAAATTGCTCAACCTGTTTTCTGTCCCCATCTGTCAAGTGAGTCAGAGAATTGTCTAAAATTGGTTTCATAAAATCGGGATCTTCATTCATAGTGCATTCACGATACTGGCCCTGTGATGTACATACTGCATTGTCTCCCTCTTGCCGGGACTGGGCCTGATTAGAGCAAGTCTCCTGAGCAGAGGAGGGATAAATCAAACTCCCCTTGAAGCACTGACTAACATTTTCAGTTACAGTAGTAGGACAAGTCCGAGAGTCGGACCTTCTATAATCAGCCGCGAGATCAGCAACGGCAGCCTCAACCCCCATGGAACATTTATCAAAACTATTTGGTCCAGGTCTAATATCAGGTTGAGACTCCGTGCTGCTAGCATAGGGCAAGGCGGGACCTCTTACTCTGGATAAAGCACTGTGCCACCCTTCACTTGTCCGGAAACATTCATTCGTCCCCACCTCAAGGTCAGTATCATGATCAGTATCATCCTTGACGTCAACATTTTCCCTACAATAAACAACAGGTTCACCCATGTCAAACATCGGTTCACCAGTTGCAACTGCAGTATTTTTGTAGAGAAAAACAGGTGCCAAGCTAAGATTAGCCACTCTAATGGGAATAAAAGGTTGACCAGGATCAACCAAGGATTTGGCAACAATCAGGGGCGGATACTTTACTCTATTTGCCAATTTCCCACCCGTTTCAATAAGTAATGGTGTATCACCCAAATGTTGACATCTTACTTTCCCAGGTACAATCATTTCAGTCATGGGAGGCACTTTAACTGTTTTTTGCATCAAAATTCGGCAACGGGTAGACACATCTGTCTCTAAAATACAATCAAAATCTTTGCCATGCATGGTTAAAAGTGCATCCCCGACATTAAGGACTGCATTTTGACTCTTCAGAAAATCATATCCCAAAATAGCTGGAGTTGGAATATTTGCCACAAGAAATTCATGAGTCACCCTTATCCCTTGTCCAAAATAGATATTTAGGTCTAATTTTCCATGACAATTCACTTTCTCCCCATTCGCCACCGTGATATCTGCGACTCTGTCATCTTTTTCACATTGCCCCAAAAGACCTAAAATTTTGGCAGAATCAGCAGAAAGTATACTTATAGTTGCACCTGTATCAATCAATGCTGGGACAGTAACGTCCTCAAATTTCAGTTGCAAATATAAGCCATTATACTCACTATCTGTTAAATGATTAAATATATAGGGTCTCTCAAGTTCATTAGTCGGAATCTGACCCCGCGTCCCGACTACTGTCCGTTTCCCGACTTGTCTTCTTTAACATTTCCCCGGGATAGAAATTGAGGGCATTTTGGAAAGAAATGATCAGGAGATCCACAAAGCCAACAACAAAGAACACCACCTTTCAAAGAATTTGTGTGCCGTCTGGGACACTCTTTAGGGGTGTGCTCAGGAGATTTGCAGAGGGCGCACTGACGTGATCTTCTGAATGTATTTCTTGCCATATTTTCTTCTAAGGCTTTTAACCGAGTTTCCATTTCAGAGTAAGACATCTTGTTCATTGCATAATTTGTATTGACTAATAGAGTGGATCTGTCATTTAATTCGGGCGACATGCGCTTGGCACGCCCTTTTTGAAAAGATTCATATTTCAACGCGCTAGTAAGAGCATCATTCAAAGTCTTTGGATTAGTAGATTGGACATGCCATTCAAGATCTTTATCATTCAGAGCATCAATGAATGAGGTCATAGCAAAATATTCCAAAGTTTCCCTTGGAATTCCCCGAAATGCCTCCCTGGATAACTTTCTAACTTCCTGAACCAATTCTTCAAGAGTTTCTTTCCCACCCCTCAATTTATTCTTTAATTTAGCCCTGGAAGTTTCATTCTGTTCTGGTGGTTCAAAGCGATATTTTAGTGCAGCGATCAAAACCCCATAATTGAAACGATCCTCCAGACTAAGATCAGTCAATACGGCCAGTGCAGTCCCCTGCAATTGTCCCACAAGTTGCAATGCCTTTGCTCGATCATCCCAATCATTTTCATATGCAATAGTCTCAAACTGGGAAAGGTAGTCACTCAGGCTACTCTTCCCGTCATATTTATTACATTTAGGAGATTTATGAGTGCTATTATATGTTAATGGGGTCGACGCCCTACGACGACTACTTTCATCACAGTGACCTCGACCTGTAACCCCTGATGCCCCGAGGCCCATTGAATGCCTCCTTGAAGCATCTTGGTGACCTGAATTTGGAACATCAGAGGGATGGACACGGTTACTACCCCCTTGATGTACACCAATTTGATCTAAGTGATCTTGGAAATATTCCTCAAATTCATTTTCCTTTCCACTAAAATTTGGTCTAACCCTAGTTCTAAATGGCGTTTTATCTTCATAAATAGGGAATGGATTCTTTCTTGAGTTTGATTTAACCCCTGCTGCAAAACCCCTTTCGAAGCTATCGAATGCCTTGTCAGAATCAAATCCGCTGTCATATGGAACATGACTTCTATGGGAAAGTTCACCCCCCTGATTATTGATGAACGCCCCATGTTTAGATACATTTTCCCTAGTTAATTGACCTTGAAATCGTGTACTTAATGACACAGGAGTTATATGTGGAGTCATAATAGGGCTTTTGTTGATTGCCCCCTTTGACACATTAGTAGGAGCCCGCGATGGCATGGGGGTACGAACGTGCACTTTCATACCCTTCAATTCATCGTAATTTGGAATCGAAGACTTTTGAACAGGAGTTGACATTCTAGCCAGATGTTCATCTTGAAAATGTATGGCTGCTTGTAAGTTAGTCATATATTTCTCATCCCGTTCCTGCCTCTGTAAAGGCGGAGGAAGGTCAAATTTAACAGAAGTTCCCGCTTTGGAAACACGCCCATCATTCCCTCCGAAATTCTCAGCGCCCCTTGTCTTTCCCCTTTTTATAGTTTTATAGTAAACATCCTGCCTCATATTATCAGAGTCCAATAAAAATGTATCTTCATCATCATTAACCTCGGATTTAATATTCATATGTTTAAATTTCGCTGACAAAGCATTCTCTTCACCTTCATTATAAGCTTCAAAAGTGTCTGGATGCCAAGGTAAAGTCGCATCGTCTGGCGGACGGGTTTCTGGCAGAGTTTGTCCATCTTCATGGACCACACCAAACTCCACTTCACCATCCCTATAGTTCCGAATATTTACAGTCTCCTCAGCTTCACCTTGTTGCTGAGGAGCCTGGGTAACAGATTTTTCCTCTACTGGCGGGGATGGATGATTATCAAGATATTTATCCATTTTAAAACAGTGATTTTCACTAATTATCCACACTAACTGTGCAATAAGCAGTAAAAATAATCACACAATTAATCACAACACACGTGCTAATTACACTAAAAGCGTGTATACCACCGCTAAAGCAAGAATAAGCAAGCAAATCACCACAACCAATTTAATTGTATTAATTAAAATTAAGAGGGTTCTTTTAAATAATCTTTAAAAAGATTCCACCAGGCTGCCACCAATATAGAATACTAGCTCTGGTCAATGCTAAATATAGAATACTGATCTCGGGAAATGCGAGATTTGATAAACGTGACCGGAAATAGATAATAGAGCTTGTATTCTAAAGATTATAACTAAAATTAAGTAAAGGGTACAGGAAGTCAGTTTCTCAAGATGAGAGAGTCAGGGTAAAGCTACACACCAGATTTATACGGATTAAATAAATGTGCAACAACAATAATGTGCTAAAACAACAACTAGGCCTATCAAGCCTGAAGATACTTACTATAAGATGGTAATGTATATCTATAATTAATTTTATTCGATTAAACTTTATATGAATAAATATGTAATGTGCATGCAATCAAATGCCTTTCAGTTATCTATGAATAACTGCTCAGATTGATTATTATAATATTTATAATTTAATACAAACAAGAATTCTATAGTCTATCACGTGTTTCAAATGGATACTTTCTATACTACTGATGTAGGACATACACTATAGTACATGAGGTCAACTTAAACTCAAAATAGTAAGCTTTCTAACTGTATTGTCTTTTACGCCCTCTATAAATGCCAGAAAGTATTAAATGCCTTGTCACTTCGAATAAAGCTAAAAGCCTAACAGGTCTCGATAATGCCCACAACCAGCAAACTTGATTTATTCTAAACCTAAAGTGCGAAAGGATTGTTCCCAACAAAACTCCAAACAATAAGGGTAATTAAACTCTAGGGATCTAAACCTTATGTTACTAACAACAATTCCCTGCTCCGCCCCTCAGGTTACATTTCATAAATTCCTTTTTGAACACCCTAAGACCTCCGAATCCAAAACAAATGGTTTCCAGATCCTTAAATGACAACTATAACTGTTTTCACCTCGAATTTAGAAACCTGATTCTCATATATTATAGTTCTTATAAAACAATCCCTAAGTGATAATAAAAACTCTCAACAAGTACAAAGAGACATGCCTCATAAATTTCACAATGGCAAATATGAGCTGTAAACTAGCCTGACTAAGGAAAACAAATACCCTTTACTAATGTCGGGCCTACGCACTTATTTTGATATAATGTTCTCGGGTTGTAAACTGCTGATACGATTATCCCGTTAAAGTGATAGCTCAATTACAAATAAACCGCAACACTCAAAAGTTATCGGCTAATTAGACAATTAACTCTCTTTCTTGAACTCTTTCAAAGTAATTACTTGCTTTTTCACTCTAGGGGCTACACGTAAATTGTAAACAATTATGGATTTTGACAGCGGGATGATTATTTCTCTACCACACCAAGTGATCTCTGACTGAACTAAATAGACAATGGAAATATTCATCCAAAGCAGATATAAATAACTATTTAATATTCCGATATTTACGTTCAAAGCTTCCTTATATTTTCTACTATTTCTTCCGAACCTCAAATGTTCGAACTAAACGGTCAACAGAAAATGAATAAGAAATCGATGACAATCAATCAGCCCTAACTTTCCGATATAAAGTACAAACGAGAGAAATCAATTCAGGTTAATCATTCGATCGCCAATCAAATTCCCCGAGTAATCAACCAATTCTAATCATAAACTAATTGTAATTTCTCTCTTTCTATCTCTTAATCAAACCTCTGCCATCCAAATGACCTATGTTCGAATCTAGATAGACTACAGAAATCCTATTCAAAGATACCAATTAAATTGAATTTCTCTTTTCTATTCCTTCCAAATCTTTACCGTTCAGACGGTCTATTATTTGAACTCAAATAGACTATAGAAATCTTATTGCAAGTTATTAATCAAAATATTGAATCCAATTTCTCTTTTCTATTCTTTCCAAACCTTACTGTTCGAACTTAATAGACTATAGAAATCTTACTCAAAGATTAATAAATTAAATCTCTCTTCTATTCTTTCCAAACCTTATTGTTTGAACTTAATAGACTATAGAAATCTTCTTCAAAGATATTCATTGAATTAAATGTTATTAAATGTTGGCTGATTATGATTTTATATTTCAATTATCTCTTGAAACTATGATCTGGCGATTTAATAATCAATTTGTACTTACAAACATTCTCATTGGTGTAGATGACATCTTCTCAGTAATCAGTGTTTGTGTTCCTCAAACGTATATTTTTATATTATAACAAACTCGCATGTAGTCAGCTCGATGGAGAACTACGGAAGGCCGGAAAATAATTTGTCGCTAAGATATTTCTCTGTATGCTGGGTTCCGGGCCGGTAGGTGTCAAAACTGTTACAACAAAGCAGGTACGAAGAGCATTTTATACTAAACGCTCAAAGACCGGTATTTTAAAAGATTCCACCTAGGAATGCATGATATTGCATTTCTAATAGATATTTGAAAGAAATTCTTGCCAGGATTGCACAAGGTTACATATTTTAGAGGAATTTTTAAAGGTTTTTAGGGTCCCAGTGAATGCCGGGTAAGCACATTCCTACCAGGAATCCAGGCTTCAAGGCAACATACGGATCCCCTCATTGCCCTGCTGCAACGGAGAAACGGGGAATCCCCGAAATTCCTGTGAGGTATTTTTCTAAATTCCACTACAATTTCTGCAACCGAAGGCATTCTCAAGGCTTAAACACTGATTCACAAGATATAATTTATGAGGAACTTTACACCACAGAGCCAGGAACCCACTATCACTATCAGCTGATTACCGGAGTGAAGTTTCATGATCAAGGTCCGCATTCACTAAAGCCAGGCAAAACAACAACAAAACAATTCACTACCCAGAAAAGTTCCCATTAACTCCCAATGCACTTAGATTATTCCACAAAATACAACAAGCAATTTATACTTTCCAAAACCACAGACCATTAAGGGATTTTAAAACCATACTGCATTTTCCCTATTTTGCCCTTTGTGCTTTAATAGGTAGAGTCGGTCTCTACACAATAACCCGGAAGTGAATTATAGAAATATAGGCAGCGTAAGCCAGAACAAAGGGAAATTGGACTAGTACTTCATAAGAAATTACTAATGAGGTAAGTGATGAATCGGTGTCAGGAATATGATAGAATGATAGGTCTAGTGTAAAAAGGGTGAAGTTACAAGGTGAAATATAAACCTACACAAATACAACACAGCAAGCTAAAAAGAATAAAGGATTAGGTACTTTAAATATCACCACACCAACTACCAACTAATAGTAAATCACACAAGAAATATATTCATTCAATAAAGTCTATTCTATTATACTTGCGTTTTATGTCACAACTGAAATATATATGTACAATGCGAATAAATAGTATTTAAATTATATAGATTATAATTTACATAAATGCTTAATGTCTTTAAATCTATTAGAATGAAATTAAACTCAATAACGCTGAAATCTGCAGTCTGATAAAATGTCTTCAAAATTATGACCGGGATACTACTTCAAATCAGAAGAGAATTGCCAACAACGATCTTGTAATAAAGTTGAATTTTATGCCCTCTATAAATTCAGTCGGGAACTAATAGCATGAAAAGTGACGTCAGATATGCGTTAAAAGCCCGAACGAGATTTTGATAAATGGGAAAGAGCTGTGAACTTTCAACCGTCAAAGACTAAGGGTGTTATTTTAAACACCAGAGGTGCGAACTCAATGGAATGTGCCCGTAAGGACTTCTTTCAATTACAATCAAGTTCAAGTTAAAAGCTGTCTAGGATACAATAATCCACAAAGATGCTCAAGTTTTAATGAATGAATCTAGACTTCAAAAGTGACGTATGTGATCACGTGACTAAGTCGTCTGCTTTCCCCAAAGTTATGATTTAATTTGACCAATAATTCCCTTAATTGATAACGTGAATCTCTATTCTGTACTATCTTGAACCTTCCCAGCATATGGGCTTATCGGGACAAACTCCCAATCTTGTTCAACTGTTACAGACTGCAGATAACACCGTTAGAAAATATGTGCGGGAAAAATGAAAGTTTTGAAATGTTTTCTCAAAGTTCAATTATCGATCAATGTTACTGTCTTAAATCTCTTCACTCCCTAATGGAATGCTATAGATTTCTATACAGTACTGAAAATTAACTTACCCAAACGCCGATGCCTCTACGTGTGTCAAACGCGACGTCCATGTGACAAATATTCTCTGAAGCTTTAAGCCTATCGTCAAAGCAAATCTGAGCTAGCCGAAAGTTAGTCTTAGCGAATGCGTTTAGCAGATGATAGATCTCGATCTCAGCTGTGCAGGAATTGTTACATTGTATCCGCAAAATGCACTTGTTTATATAGCAACAAATGGACATACGCAATTTCGGGGACGACGTAGGCAGAAATATATGTAATGTTACTAAAAATGGGATATTACCAAAATTTTTAGGGCTACGTAGGGTAGCAAGAAGGGCAAAAAGAGCAGCTTATTGGACAAGAATTATGAGGAAGGGACTAAAAAATGATGTCACTTTGAAAAGTGACGCGTAGTTGAGACTGCAAATTCAGCGTTTTACAATGATAAATAGGTTTTTTCTATAAATATACTGCCTCTGATACGATGATTCTGGCATACGTATTGCAATAATATAATGATCATGTTAAAGGGACATGATGTGGTTAAATGCTGATTATAGATATTAAAGGAGCACACACTGGTTAAATATGATATTATGAATAGCTATATACAGGGTGGGTCTCTACAACTACCCCCTTCTTAAAAAATTCAGGTTTGTCCTCAAACACAGAAACAAGCTAATTAAACTAGCTTCACTATTGTATTGCCAAATATTTACAAGAAAATCACTCAAAAGTCTATAGAGTTCTTAATTACAAAGGTCCAACAGTGCATCAATATCATGATCGTCTAACGACACGTCAGGCCCTGTCAGGGCGGCAATGTCCTCATCAGCAATGCTGGACCACCACGGATCAACATCCTCCGCCACGAGTCCTCGAGCAGCGGGCGCGTCATCTACTGAAGGGCAGAGGGATGTTGAAGGTTTGGGCGATGAGGTGACCAATGGCTCCTCCCTTGCGCTCTCCATTTCCTCCTTCCGGGGACGCACGACGGCTTGGAGCTGGGGCGTCGAGATCGACGCGGGATCGACCCCCAGCTCCTGCCCCGTGCCATCCCCCCTTCCAAGCTCGCGTCCTCTCCTCCTTTTCTGGGGCGGCTCCCCGGCAGCAGCCTGCTGACCCCCACCGGAGGAGGTGGAATGGCGCTTCCGGTGGAGGGTCAGCCTCTCCACTTCTGCTGGCGTGAAGCGAGCGTCACATTCACCTACTCCGCACGGCACCGACTTCACGTGACAACATTCCCTATGCGTCTCCCATTCTTCAGAACTCACATATTGTTTAAGACAGCGGTAAGGCCGCCCAGCCGGCCATCCCTTGGGTGGCTCACCGCCCATCTGGCACACCTAAAATAAAATAAAACTCTTACCCTCTTTACCCTACTAGAAAGGTTTTAAGTATTTTTATACAAACCTCCCCTAGGGTCTTAAGGTACTAGTTTTCTTGATATTTAATTAATACATATATACTTGACCATATTGAATTAGAATGAACATCTTCTCATCCCTTTTTCAATCTATTCAAGTCTTTACAGTAAAAGTTAATCCTCTACGATGAAAAAGGGCTAAAAGAAAGTTTATAAGAATGGGTACAAGCCATAAGCACAAGTCAAATCACAATTAAGATAATCGTTAAAGTAATATAGGATAAATGTACATGATAAGAATATTAAGGCACTTGACTCGACTTATGAAATCTGAAGTGAGACTACTCTATACATAGATCACGGTGGACGTTCGCCATTCGCCAATTGCGAATTTTCGAAAGAGGTGGCGAAAAATATGTAAAGGTATTTCGCAGTTATGGCGAATTAGAGGTGTCACGGTTTCCCGATATTGGACCGAATTTCGGTCCAGATGCTTCGGTTCGGGACATGGGACAGAAAGGGTTAATATCGGTACCTAGATTCCTTCCCTAAAATGCATAAAAACGTCTATAAATAGCGAGGAACACCTCTGATTTCGTTCTGAAAAATTAAGTATTTTCACTTACCTCGTACCTAGATTACACGTCTTTGCATTGAAAAGTTAAAAGTTAAATTCAGCAATGATATTAATTTAGTTATGATAACATCACTTACAAGTATTTATTACAGGTCGTGTAGTCCATTGTTGCTTGATTTATAGCAAAAACGTTGATTTGTGCCGGTTGATGGCCTTGCGCCTTTTTTAATAGATCTCATACCTTAGATGCTTATCGTTTCAGAAAAAATCCCAGAAAACCTAACATATTCTACCATACCGTGCGCCTATCCATTTAGCAATTCAATAGTAAACTTTTTCTTGAAAAAATAAATCTTCAGGTTTGTTGAATTTCCTAGCAGAAATTGCCCGCTCCCCCCCTCCGTCCCATATTCACGATCACCGGGTGTGAGCCAGTAGTAGCATGAACAGCACTGTTGTAAGCAGAAACAACAAAGGGGAGACATCGGTCCCAGTCCCTCTGATCGGATGCAACAATTTTAGACAACATAGCCTCCACAGTCCTGTTTGATCTTTCTACCATACCATCAGACTGTGGATGATATGGAGTCGTTCTTGTCTTACTCATGCGGAACATTTCACATAATTCTTTAAATAGTTTTGATTCAAACTGGGCTCCTTGGTCGGAATGAATTTGAAGAGGTGACCTGTAAATGCAAATGAAATGATGCAGCAAAGCTTCTGCCACCGTGGCAGCTTCTTGATTAGGGACGGGAACCAATGCCAGGACCTTTGTGAAATAATCTTCAATTGATACCACATACTTGTTCCCCAATAGACTTTCGGGCAAAACTCCCAAAATATCAATGGCTATTCTCTCAAGAGGGGCACCCACATTGTATTGTTTCATCGGTGTTCGATGTTTCTTATTGGGTGGATTTCTCCTCTGACACAACAGGCAACCCGCTACCCATCTGGCAAGGTCAGACTTGAAACCAACCCAATAGTATTTGGCCCTCAAACGATCAAGATATTTATTGACCCCAAAATGCCCACTCTCAAGAGCCCCATGAGTCATTTCTAAAATGGTTCGGCGCATATTTTCAGGCACCACGATTTGCCAGCTTACGATCCCAGTATCAGTATCTACCCATTTTCGATAAATAACTCCCTGTTCCAATTTGAACCTGTCCCACTGAGACAAGTAATGTTTAAAAGTAGGTGATTTGTCTGATACGTCCGCCCAGTCAGGTCGGTTCCCCACTTTAAGCCAATTGTTGATGGTTGAAAGACATGGATCCTGAGCCAAGGCCTCTTCATACTCTTTGAGAGATATTCCCGGTGCCCAAGTGCACCCTGAAACAGGAAGATTCCTCAATTTGGGAGTATGAACAAGCTCTGGCCCTAAGTTTGAGTCAAAGGTCATGTCAAAACTTCTAAGAAGCAAGTTAGCCTTAGGATCAGTCAAGGCTTCCTCCTTCCCAGGAACTCTACCCAGTTTCTCTTGTCTTTCGCAATATGCACAGCCAGTACAGGGACGTCTAGACATTCCGTCGGCGTTCAGATGTTTTGTACCAGGTCGATGTTCAATTTTGAAGTCATATTGTCCCAATAACTCTAACCACCGGGCAATCTGTCCTTCAGGATGTTTAAACCTCAACAACCAAGCCAAAGAGCCATGATCTGTTCTGACTTTGAAACGACTGCCGTAAAGGTAATGGTGAAACACTTTAACAGCCCTCACTATAGCCAACAATTCCAATCTAGTGACACAATAGTTGCGCTCAGGTTTGGACAATGATTTGCTATAATGACTGACAACTTTCATCTCACCATCAACTTCCTGTTGTAACACAGCACCAACCTGACAGGCAGAAGCATCAGTATCCAAGATAAATTCTTTGGACTTATCTGGGTAAGCCAACAATGCAGAACTCAAATAAAGTCTCTTCAATTCTTCAAAGGCAAATTGACAATCCCCTGACCAGACAAACGGAACACCTTTTCAGTAAGTTTGAACAAGGGTCTGGCCAGTCCTGAAAAACCTGGAATGAACTTCCGATAATAAGAACAGTAACCCACAAAAGACTGGATTTGTTTCACAGTACGAGGAACAGCCCAATTCACAATCGCCTCAGTTTTATTTGGATCGATTTTTACTCCATCTTCAGACACAACATGACCCAAACAGGATACTTCTTTTTGAAACAACTTACACTTTTTCGGAGACAATTTCAATCCAGAACTTCTCAATTTTCAAAGACTTTCAACATCCTGGCTAAACACAATTATATCGTCGAGATAGACTAAACACATCTCCGGAGACAAACCAGCAAACACACATTCCATAAGCCTTTGAAAGGTGGCTGGGGCATTAGCCAGACCAAACGCCATTACATTAAATTCATACAAACCACGTTTAGTGCAGAAAGCGGTCTTCTCGGCGTCAGCATCGTCCATAGTTATCTGCCAAAACCCACTAGCCAAATCAAGTACGGTGAAGTAGTTAGAACCACACAAAGAGTCTAAAGTATCGTCAATTCTAGGCAGAGGAAATGCGTCCTTGATGGTGACGTCATTAAGTTGTCTGAAATCTATACAGTACCTATAGCTACCATCCTTCTTTGGCACCATCACAACAGGTGAGGCCCAAGGACTTTTGGACTTTTGGATGGCTTAACTATGTCATGTTCAATCATTTCGTCCAAAGCTTTGTCATATTCAGTCTGTTTAGACAAAGGCACACGTCTAACAGGTTGTTTGATGGGTCGGGCATTCCCGGTATCAATTTTATGCCTTATGATTTCTGTCTTTCCCAGGTCAAATTAGGATTTTGCAAAAACATCTTGATCTTGTAACAGAAAATTCTTAACTCTAGTACAGTCGCGATCAGACAAACTTTCTGTTGAATCGTCAATCAGATGTCGTAAATAGTCGGGTATAACTTCGTCCGTCTTTTCTGGAGATTGGTATTCAATGTCACCAGCTGTAATGTTATTTCCAGTCACCCGTTCAAACCTTGCTACACCATCGTCATGCGAGCAGTGGGCGTGACCTGGATAATCAATCATCCTAGCGGTATAGGGCTGCCCGAGGTGCAAGTGAGGTGCGTCATTTAGGGACTTTTCAACCTCACTCCGCGGCACCTTGTCAGCTACAGCAGTGCAAGAGGTCAGACCTGAACATAGTCTCGGATCACTATTAGCACGCAAGTGATCCTCAGCCCCTGAATGATCGTCATCATCGCGTCGAGGCTCCTCGGATACGTTAGGTAAAATGTCAGGTCGTAGTCTGGCACGGTTGCCCTTCACCTCCTGAGTAACGTTTTCCATTGATCTACCAATCTCCCCAAAAGTACCACCTTCAACGTCAATTTTTTCCCCACAAGAAGCAACAAGATTCCCCATATCGAATAGTGGTTCCCCAGTTGCTACTGCAGTATTCTTGTAAAGGAACATGGGTTCTAAACTAAGATTAGCCAATCTAATTGGAATGAAAGGTTGACTAGGGTCAACAAGGGATTTGGCAACAATCAGGGGCGGAAATTTTTCTCTATCTGCCAAATTCCAATTCATTTCAATTAACAGAGGTGTATCACCCAAGTGTTGACATTGTACTTTTCCGGGAACAATCATTTCTGTCATGGGAGGCACTCTGACAGTATCTTGCATCAAAATTTGGCACTTGGTAGACAAATCAGTCTCTAATATACAATCAAAATCTTTGCCATGCATAGTCAACAGTGCGTCCCCGACATTAAGGATTGCCTTTTGATTCTTTAGAAAATCGTAGCCTAACATAGCCGGAGTGGTGATGTCGGCCACTAATAATGTTTGAACCACCCGTATACCCTGACCTAAATAAAATCCACATTCAATTCTACCATGACACTTTACTTTGTTACCATTTGCCACGGATATATTCAAATTGCTTGTTTTACATTGTTCAAACACTCCTAATAATTTGCTAGTTTCAGTCGACAAAATGCTCACATTTGCACCAGTATCAATTAATGCGGGGACAGTAATTTCCCCAAAGTTCAATTGCAAATATAAGCCATTATATCGACTATCGGTCAAATGATTAAATACGTAGGGTCTTTTGGAATCATCAGTCGAAGTCTGACCCTGTGACTCGACTATTGGCCGTTTCCCGAATTATTTTGAATCCGCTTTGGGCATCCTCGAATAAGGTGATCCGTGGATCCACAGATCCAACAGCATCGGCTACCGCCCTTGGCATGTGGATGTTTCTTTGGGCAAAACTTGGTAAAATGTTCACTTGAGTTACAAATCCCGCATGGTCGATATGGAAGGGGATCATTGCCACCTCGGTTACGCTCAGGCAAGGACTTCTCCAAAGTTTGAATTCTAGATTCCATTTCTGAGAATGTCATCTTGTTGACAGCAAAGTTGGTCTCAACCAATAAGGTAGAGCCATCATCTCGCTCAAGGTTGGGAGTCAATCGCTTAGCCCGCCCTCCTTTGAAAGATTCATATTTCAAAGCGCTTGTAAGTGCTTCGTTAAGTGTTTTTGGACTTGTGGACTGGACATGCCATTCCATTGCACTATCATTGAGTGCGTCAATAAAAGAGGTCATTGCGAAATATTCAATGGTTTCTCGAGGGATATTTTTGAATGCTTCCCTCGATAAGCCCCTATAATCTTGCGCCAATTCCTCCAGCGATTCTTTGGATCCGCGTAACTTATTTTTCAACTTTGCCCTAGAAGTTTCATTTTGCTCCGGCGGCTCAAAACGGTACTTCAGGGCGTCCACAAGCAATTGATAATCAAAACGGTCTTCTAAACTTAAGTCGGCTAAAATGGCCAAAGCAGTGCCCTCTAAATGACCCACAAGTTGTAAAGCTTTTGCCCGGTTATCCCATCCATTCTCATACGCAATGGTTTCAAACTGAGCCAAGTAATTAGTTAGGCTAGTCTTCCCATCATACTTACCACATTTTGGAAGTTTGTTACCAAACACACTGGCTGGGAGAGATATATTCTGTCCCACTCCAGTGACATTACTAATGGGGTTGGGTGCCCTACGACGATCATTGTCGTCATAGCGATCACGCCCCGAACGGTGGGCACTAAAAGTATGATCGTTAGTCCGCCCTCGCGAAAAATTATTGCTACCCGAGCTATCAATTCCATCGGAATAGCCTGAATCATTATATCTATTGGAACCGGACTCAAAAACACCCCCGCTTTTCCCCTGGTAACCTGATACATCGCGGTTAGAATCATTAATTGATGGGTCAACATAGTCGCTATCCTCAAGGTCCTTTCGGTAGTTACCACTGCAAGGGGTGTTAGGGGGCACCCTCAACCCATGTCCACCCATTGCACTTCCGGTGGAGTTGGACCCATTTGCCCTCCCTATACTACTCTGGTGAAATACGGAATCTGAAAATTGTACATGATTTCTAGATAACCCTACCCCCTGATTAAAGATGGGTTTCTGTGTCATGTTAGATGGTAATTTTGGCTGTGCAATATGCATACCAGACGTAGGAATACTAATTTGAGACGATAATAAAGGCCTTTTATTAATCGCCCCAATTCCCACAAGATGGTTCTCCGCGCGCGATGGCATAGGCGTAGATACGCGGTTCACATGATTTTTCACAGGCATTGTCATTGATGTCCGAGCGGGCGTGGATGTACGCCTAGTCAGATCATCCTTAAATAATTTTGCTGCCTGATCATTATCGGAAAAAATGGTAAATTCCTCCTGCCTTTGCAAAGGCGGCGGGAGATGCCATCCTTTCGAAGGACTATCGGACCGGAAACGGTTGCCCTGCGCATGAGCACCGTTATTGCTTCCAGTAGCCTTTTGAGTTTCTTCCGCGTTATCCGGATCACTTTTTACGTCTGGCATTACATTTTCTTTATCGAGCAAATAAGATTTATTATCAACATTCAATTCCGTTTTCACAATAGCGGGCATGGGGTTAACGAGTTCCCCAGTGTCCCCCTCACTAGTGGTTACCATGACCTTGTGGTCCCAGGACAGAGTGGTATCGTCTGGGGGGCCTGTTTCTTTCAATGGCTGCGGCCCAAATCCTACCTCCCCGTCCTGGTAATTAAAAATGGTTACAGACTCCTCGACATCCTGTCGAGAAGGCTGGGTAACAATTCCATCCCCCACAGCTGACGGAGAGCTATCCTCCAGATGTTGTTCCATCATCAAATATTAGTCACGTGATCACTTATTGTCTTTAAGATCAATTACACCGCACCCAGCAAGATAAAAATACGAATTAATTCACCGAACTATTTGTACAACAATGCAAGCAAGCAAATCACTTAATAATTTTAATTAAGATCGTTAAAATTTAATTGGTAAATCTAACCCAATTCAAGTGGATGATTTAGGGAATTAAAAAGATTTCAACTCTCCTTTTATTGTTATTCAAAGTTATTAGCGGAAAACACACTAAAATCTCAATGGTAAAGAATCTTGTGGTCGGGGTACTATAATACCAAAAGGTAATAAATTACGGCCAAATCAGCAAATGTTCAAGATCAAGGGTCGACTTAAGCCTACGCTGAGAGTAAAAATAAGTCACTCTTAAATATAAATTTCAATCCCAGAACCAAATAAAGTATGGAAATGTTCGAATTAAAGTAGTTTTACATGAATTATTCCACTGCTAATTTAGCTCGAAATCAAAATATCCTTAAAAAGTCTTTTAATTAATTATTCAGAAGTAAGCGTGTAAAACTAGTACACAATTGAACGAGGTATTAATTTCAAACTCCCGATAACATGAGACAGTGTGTATATATTTCCGAAGCAATGTACAGATATTAGCAAATTTAAATAGCTTATATAAGCAATGTCAAACGTATAGGGAATATATCTGCGGTCCCTTAATTAATATCAAATTATTTAAGAGATTTAAAAGTACATTCACCACCACCGTATATTAATATAAATCAAACTAAAATTCAAGCAAAAGTATTAAAAAGTATACAGAGATGTACATGAAATGAAAGAGTTAAAAGAGGGTCCCTTAAAACGAAGTATTTTAAGACCATCTCACCGCTAATGCCACCATTATAAAATACTGTCCAAAAACCCGGAAGTGAATTGTAAAAATAGGTAGTGTAAGCCAGAACAAAGAGAGATTGGACTAGTACTTCATAAGAAATTACTTATAAGGTGAGTGATGAATAGGTTTCAGGAATATGATAGAATGATAGGTCTAGTGTCAAAAGGGTGAAGTTACAGGGTGAAAATATAAACAAACCTACACCAAATACAACACAGCAAGCTAAAAAGAATAAGGGATTAGATACTTAAAATAAACCCACACCAACTACCAACTAATAGTAAATCACACAAGAAATATATTCATACAATTAAGTCTATTCTATTATACTTGCGTTTTATGTCGCAACTGAAAGATATATGTACAATGTGAATAAATACTATTCAGATTATTTAGATTATAGTTTTACATAAATGTTAAATATCTTTAAATCTATTGGAAATGAAATTAATCTCAATAACGCTGAAATCTGCAGTCTGTTAAAAATGTCTTTAAAATTATGTCCGGGATACTACTTCAAACCAGAACAGAATTTCCACTAACAATTTCACAGTAGGATCGTATTTTATGCCCTCTATAAATTCAGTTAGGAACCAAAAGCATGAAAAGTGACGTCAGAATGCCTTAAAAACCCGAACAAGATTTTGATTGATGTAAAAGAGTTGTGAACTTTCAACTGCTGTAACCTAGGGTTGTTATTCTAAACACCAGAGGTGTTAATTCAATGGAATGTGCCCGTTAAGTCTAATTTCAAGTTCAAGTTCAAGTTAAAAGCCGTCTACGATACTACAGCACACCGAAATGGTCAAGTTTTATGAATGAATTTGGATTTCAAAAGTGACGTAGGTGATCACGTGACTAAGTCGTCTGCTTCTCCCAAAGTTATAATTTGATCAATAATTCCCTTTGATTGATAACGTGAATCTCTATTCTGTACTATCTTGAACCTTCCCAGCATATGGGCTTATTGAGACAAACTCCAAATCTTGTTCAACTTTTACAGACTGCAGATAACACCGTTAGAAAATATGTGCGGGAAAAATGAAAGTTTCAAAATGTTTCCTCAAAGTTCAATTACGATTCAATTACTGTCTTAAATCTCTCCACTTCTCTAATAAGTGCTATAGATCTCTATACAGTACTAAGATTTACTTACCCAGACGCCAACCCCTCTTTTGTTATCAAAAATCACACTCATCTGTAAGTTTCCGTCTTGTCAGGATCAGGATAGTTAGCAGGTATATTTGTCGGATCTCGAGTTCAGCTGTGCGGGAATCGTTACATTGTATCCGCAAAATACACTTGTTTATATAGTAACAAATGGACATACGTAATCTTGGGGACGACGTAGGGAGAAATATATGTAATGTTACTAAAAATGGGACATTACCAAGATTTTTAGGGCTACGTAGGGTAGTACGAGGGGCAAAAAGAGCAGCTTATTGGACAAGAATTATGAGGTAGGGACTAGAAAATGATGTCACTTTGGAAAGTGACGCAAAGTTGAGACTGCAAATTCAGCGTTTTATAATGATAAATGGATTTCTTCTAAAAATATACTGCCTCTGATACGATGATTCTGGCATACGTATTGCAATAATATAATGATCAAGTTAAAGGGGCACACACTGATTAAATATGATGTTATAAATAGCTATATACAGGGTGGGTCTCTACAAACCTACACAAATACAACACAGCAAGCTAACAAGAATAAGGGATTAGGTACTTTAAATATCACCACACCAACTACCAACTAATAGTAAATCACACAAGAAATATATTCATTCAATAAAGTCTATTCTATTATACTTGCGTTTTATGTCACAACTGAAATACATATGTACAATGCGAATAAATAGTATTTAAATTATATAGACTATAATTTACATAAATGCTAATGTCTTTAAATCTATTAGAATGGAATTAAACTCAATAACGCTGAAATCTGCAGTCTGATAAATGTCTTCAAAATTATGACCGGGATACTACTTCAAATCAGAACAGAATTGCCAACAACGATCTTGTAATAAAGTTGAATTTTATGCCCTCTATAAATTCAGTCGGGAACTAATAGCATGAAAAGTGACGTCAGCTATGCGTTAAAAGCCCGAACGAGATTTTGATAAATGGGAAAGAGCTGTGAACTTTCAACCGTCAAAGACTAAGGATGTTATTTTAAACACCAGAGGTGCAAACTCAATGGAATGTGCCCGTAAGGACTTCTTTCAATTACAATCAAATTCAAGTTCAAGTTAAAAGCTGTCTAGGATACAATAATCCACAAAGATGCTCAAGTTTTAATGAATGAATCTAGACTTCAAAAGTGACGTATGTGATCACGTGACTAAGTCGTCTGCTTTCCCCAAAGTTATGATTTAATTTGACCAATAATTCCCTTAATTGATAACGTGAATCTCTATTCTGTACTATCTTGAACCTTCCCAGCATATGGGCTTATCGGGACAAACTCCCAATCTTGTTCAACTGTTACAGACTGCAGATAACACCTTTAGAAAATATGTGCGGGAAAAATGAAAGTTTTGAAATGTTTTCTCAAAGTTCAATTATCGATCAATATTACTGTCTTAAATCTCTTCACTCCCTAATGGAATGCTATAGATTTCTATACAGTACTGAAAATTAACTTACCCAAACGCCAACACCCCGTTTTTCGTCGAAGATTACGTTCATAGCCCAACTGGAATCTTGAGACCGTGTTCACTGAGGATACTGTGCTGTAGCGAGTATTTTCCGAATCTTAGGTTCAGCGGTGCAGGAATTGTTACATTGTATCCGCGAAAGACACTTGTTTATATAGCAACAGATGGACATACACAATCTTGGAGACGACGTAGGGAAAAATATATGTAATGTTGCTAAAAATGGGATATTACCAAGGTTTTTAGAGCTATGTAGGGTAGTAAAAAGGCAGAAAGAGCAGCTTATTGGACAGGAATTATGAGGTAGGGACTGAGAAAATGATGTCACTTTGAAAAGTGACGCAAAGTTGAGACTGCAAATTCAGCGCTTTACAATGATAAATAGGTTTTCTCTATAAATATACTAGCTCTGATACAATGATTCTGGCATATGTATTGCAATAATGTGATCATGTTAAAGGGACATGATATGGTTAAATACTGATTATAGATATTAAAGGGACACACACTGGATAAATACGATATAATAAATAGCTATATACAGGGTGGGTCTCTACAACTACCCCCTTCTTAAAAAATTCAGTTTTGTCCTCAAACATAAAAATCAAGCTAATTAAGCTAACCGCCTCACTGTATTCAGGAGAATTTACATTAACAAGTCACAACAAATCACCCAAAAAGTCTATGCACTGTTCAAAAAGTCCAGCCCCTCCAAGTCTACATCCGGCCCTTCCAGGTATTCTCCAACCGCTCTGCTGTTCATCCCCAGCAGAGGATCCCCGCTCTCCGCCAGCAATCCTCGGACCAGAGGGGAAGTTCCGGCACGTCCTCTAAATCCCGCAGGGGATGCACAGCGGCTTGGAGCTGAGGCGCCGAGATCGACGCGGGATCGACCCCCAGCTCCTGGCCCGTGCCATCCCCCTCGTCCTCTGTCCTCTCCTTCTCCACCCGGGGATGCACGGCGGCTTGGAGCCGGGGCGCCGAGATCGACGCGGGATCGACCCCCAGCTCCTGGCCCGTGCCATCCCCCTCGTCCTCAGCCCTCTTCCTCTTTCGGAGGGCTCTTCCGTCCCCAGGTTGAGGTGCCTCCGCCGGTGGAAGGCGAGCCCCTCAACCTGGGCAGGGGTGAACATCCGTGGGCCCACCCCACAGGCTATAGTGGAATCATGGGCGTTCACCCGGTGGAGCTGCCAGTCCCCCTGGCTCACGAACTGAGCAAGGCAGCGATAAGGCCGCCCGGGCACCCATCCTCTGGGTGGGTCAGCCGACATCTGGCAGACCTAAAAGAAAATAAAACTCTTACCTTCTCACCCTACTAGAAAGGTTTTTAGTATTTTTATACGAACCTCCCCTAGGATCTCAAGGTACTAGTTTTCTTTGATATTCAATTAATACATAAGTACTCGACAATATTGAACTAGAATGAACATCCTCTCATTCTCTTTCAATCTATTCAAGTCTCTTTAGTAAAAGGTTACAGTTCTTTATTTGGAAGTTCAAAAAAGAAAGTTATAAAAATGGGTATAAGCTACAAGCACAAGCTAGGACACATTGAATTACTTTGAAAGTAATATAGAAAAATGCACACAATAGGGATATTAAGACACTTGACTCGACTTATGAAATCTGAAGTGAGACTACTCTATAACATAATCAGTTAGCCACTCAGGTTTCTTTCGGGTCCTTTGCCTTCTAGAATTTTCAGTCTCATTTTCTTTAATTTCAGAAGCATTCTCAAAATCTGAGGGTTGGGAATCCTCAACAGGGGTTTCAGTTTCTTGATCTAGACTCTCATTAGTATTTTGTGAAATGAATGTTTTGAGGCGATCATGGTGAATGACTCTTGTATCTCTCTCATTAATTTTAATTAGATACCTTAAATCATCTATTCTCTTCGCAACCTCATAGGGTCCATGCCACTTTAAAGCGAACTTAGGAGTCTGGCCAACCTTCACAGCTGGTACATGGACCCAAACACGTGATCCCTTTTCGAATGACTTTAAATTTGCTTTGACATCATACCCTCTCTTCTGTCGGTCACTAGATAATTTGATATTGCCGCGAGCCGCCTCGTGAATATTGAGTAGAACTTCTTGTAATTTCTCACAGTATTTTGTATGACATGTACTATCAAGTTCTCCCCTCTCAATTTCAGGAGGAGGCCCGAGCAACAGATCGGTGGAGGTCCGAACCTCCCTTCCGAACATCAGAAAATTCGGGCTGTAGCCAGTAGTAGCATGAACAGCACTGTTGTAAGCAGAAACAACAAAGGGAAGACATCGGTCCCAGTCCCTCTGATCGGATGCAACAATTTTAGACAACATAGCCTCCACAGTCCTGTTTGATCTTTCTACCATACCATCAGACTGTGGATGATATGGAGTCGTTCTTGTCTTACTCATGCGGAACATTTCACATAATTCTTTGATTAGTTTTGATTCAAACTGGGCACCTTGGTCAGAATGAATTTGTAGAGGTGACCCATAAATACAAATGAAATGATGCAGCAAAGCTTCTGCCACTGTGGCAGCTTCTTGATTAGGGACAGGAACCAATGCCAGGACCTTTGTGAAATAATCTTCAATTGATACTACATACTTGTTCCCCAATAGACTTTCGGGTAAAACTCCCAAAATATCAATGGCTATTCTCTCAAGAGGGGCACCCACATTGTATTGTTTCATTGGTGTTCGATGTTTCTTATTGGGTGGATTTCTCCTCTGACACAAAAGGCAACCCGCTACCCATCTAGCAAGGTCAGACTTGAAACCAACCCAATAGTATTTGGCCCTCAAACGATCAAGAGATTTATTGACCCCGAAATGCCCACTGTCAAGACCCCATGAGTCATTTCTAAAATGGTTTGGCGCATATTTTCAGGCACCACGATTTGCCAGCTAATGATCCCAGTATCAGTATCTACCCATTTTCGATAAATAACCCCCTGTTCCAATTTGAACCTGTCCCACTGAGACCAGTAATGTTTAAAGGTAGGTGATTTGTCCGATACGTCTGCCCAGTCAGGTCGGTTCCCCACTTTAAGCCAATTGTTGATTGTTAAAAGACATGGATCCTGAGCCAAGGCCTCTTCATACTCTTTGAGAGATATTCCCAAATAACAACTAGGCCTATCAAGCCTGAAGATACATACTATAAGATGGTAATGTATATCTATAATTAATTTTATTCGATTAAACTTTATATGAATAAATATGTAGTGTGCATGCAATCAAATGCCTTTCAGTTATCTATGAATAACTGCTCAGATTGATTATTATAATATTTATAATTTAATACAAACAAGAATTCTATAGTCTATCACGTGTTTCAAATGGATACTTTCTATACTACTGATGTAGGACATACACTATAGTACATGAGGTCAACTTAAACTCAAAATAGTAAGCTTTCTAACTGTATTGTCTTTTACGCCCTCTATAAATGCCAGAAAGTATTAAATGCCTTGTCACTTCGAATAAAGCTAAAAGCCTAACAGGACTTGATAATGCCCACAACCAGCAAACTTGATTTATTCTAAACCTAAAGTGCGAAAGGATTGTTCCCAACAAAACTCCAAACAATAAGGGTAATTAACCTCTAGGGATCTAAACCTTATGTTACTAACAACAATTCCCTGCTCCGCCCCTCAGGTTACGTTTCATAAATTCCTTTTTGAACACCCTAAGACCTCCGAACCCAAAACAAATGGTTTCCAGATCCTTAAATGACAACTATAACTGTTTTCACCTCGAATTTAGAAACCTGATTCTCATATATTATAGTTCTTATAAAACAATCCCTAAGTGATAATAAAAACTCTCAACAAGTACAAAGAGACATGCCTCATAAATTTCACACTGGCAAATATGAGCACTTACGCACTTATTTTGATATAATGTTCTCGGGTTGTAAACTGCTGATACGATTATCCCGTTAAAGTGATAGCTCAATTACAAATAAACCGCAACACTCAAAAGTTATCGGCTAATTAGACAATTAACTCTCTTTCTTGAACGCTTTCAAAGTAATTACTTGCTTTTTCACTCTAGTAGCGGCTACACGTAAATTGTAAACAATTATGGATTTTGACAGCGGGATAATTATTTCACTCCTATTTCTCTCTCAATCCTCTACCACACCAAGTGATCTCTGACTGAACTAAAAAGACAATGGAAATATTCATCCAAAGCAGATATAAATAACTATTTAATGATCCGATATTTACGTTCAAAGCTTCCTTATATTTTCTACTATTTCTTCCGAACCTCAAATGTTCGAACTAAACAGTCAACAGAAAATGAATAAGAAATCGATGACAATCAATCAGCCCTAACTTTCCGATACAAAGTACAAACGAGAGAAATCAATTCAGGTTAATCATTCAATCGCCAATCAAATTCCCAGAGTAATCAACCAATTCTAATCATAAACTAATTGTAATTTCTCTCTTTCTATCTCTTAATCAAACCTCTGCCATCCAAATGACCTATGTTCGAATCTAGATAGACTACAGAAATCCTATTCAAAGATACCAATTAAATTGAATTTCTCTTTTCTATTCCTTCCAAATCTTTACCGTTCAGACGGTCTATTATTTGAACTCAAATAGACTATAGAAATCTTATTGCAAGTTATTAATCAAAAACTATTGAATCAAATTTCTCTTTTCTATTCTTTCCAAACCTTACTGTTCGAACTTAATAGACTATAGAAATCTTACTCAAAGATTAATAAATTAAATCTCTCTTCTATTCTTTCCAAACCTTATTGTTTGAACTTAATAGACTATAGAAATCTTCTTCAAAGATATTCATTGAATTAAATATTATTAAATGTTGGCTGATTATGATTTTATATTTCAATTGTCTCTTGAAACTATGATCTGGCGATTTAATAATCAATTTGTACTTACAAACATTCTCATTGGTGTAGATGACATCTTCTCAGTAATCAGTGTTTGCGTTCCTCAACGTATATTTTTATATTATAACAAATTCCAGTAGATATCAAACGCGGCGACTTGTAGTATGCAAGTTGCAGAAGACCGAAAAATCGTTTAGCGTCCAAATGCTTTCTCGTATGCTGGGTGCCGGGCCGGTAGACGATCAAAACTGTTACAACAAAGCAGGTACAAAGAGCATTTTATACTAAACGCTCAAAGACCGGTATTTTAAAAGATTCCACCTAGGAATGCATGATATTGCATTTCAATAGATATTTGAAAGAAATTCCTGCCAGGATTGCACAAGGTTACATATTTTAGAGGAATTTTAAAGGTCCCAGTGAATGCCGGGTAAGCACATTCCCACTAGGAATCCAGCTTCAAGGAAACATATGGATCCCTCATTGCCCTGCTGTAACGGAGAAACGGGGAATCCCCAAAATTCTTGTGAGGTATTTTTCTAAATTCCACTACAATTTCTGCAACTGAAGGCATTCTCAAGGCTTAAACACTGATTCACAAGATATAATTTATGAGGAACTTCACACCACAGAGCCAGGAACCCACTATCACTATCAGCTGATTACCAGAGTGAAGTTTCATGATCAAGGTCTGCATTCACTAAAGCCAGGCAAAACAACAACAAAACAATTTACTACCCAGAAAAGTCCCCATTAACTCCCAATGCACTTAGATTATTCCACAAAATACAACAAGCAATTTATACTTTCCAAAACCACAGACCATTAAGGGATTTTAAAACCATACTGCATTTCCCTATTTTGCCCTTTGTGCTTTAATAGGTAGAGTGGGTCTCTACAACTGCCCCCCTTAAAGAAAAAATGCGTTTGCCCTCAAACGCCAGAGCTTCAAGACAATAACTATGCGTTCTGCTTACTACTATTTACATTATATTACATAGTTTACAAAAAATTGTACAATTCCGAAAAAAAGGTATGAAAATTAACATTAAAAAAGGTTAAAATTTTTCTCTAGCCTAAAAAAGTTATACTCAAAATTAATCGTTGTCAAAAGTTAAATTTTGTTAGCCTAAAATTAAAATCAATCTCAAGAGTCCATAAGTAAAAGTTAGCCTACAATTTCAAATATAAAATACTTCAAAAGTCCAATGATAATTTTAGTGGTTTTTTTTTTTTTTTTTTTTTTTTAAATTTTAGAGTCCAAAAGGGTATAGTTATCAAAGTTCAAAGGAAAAGCCTAGGGGCTCTGGAGACCCGATGGACCAGGCCTTGTCCTGACCTGATCCATCCCCTTGATCGGCTTCCTTGCTGTCCAGCTTTCCTGCACCCAATCCAATAGGTCGGAGTCCAACCCCGACCACAGGGGATCCTTCTCACTGGAGTCCCCTGACCGGCTAGTTGATGTAGTTGCAGAGGTTGAGGGTCCAGTAGCAGTTGTAGAGGTTGAGGGTCCAATTGCAGTTGTAGAGGTTGAGGGTCCAGTTGCAGTTGTAGAGGTTGAGGGTCCAGTTGCAGTTGTAGAGGTTGAGGGTCCAGTTGCAGTTGTTGAGATAGTAATGGCACGCAGCACCCTCTTGGGCCTTTTACTTGGTGGCTCCGCCTCTCTGTTGGGGGATAACGCATTCTGCCTTAAGCGATGCAGGCGGAGTTTCTCTATCTCATTTGGGCAGTAGCGGGCTTCACAACCCCACACTCCACAATACTCTGTGGCCCGGTGGGCACATGCTATATGTACCTGTAGTTCCTCTTGGGTCGCAAATGCTCTCCAACAGAAGAATGCCCTATCCCTATTCCATCCGGCTGGAGGTGGGATCTGTTCTTTGCAGTCCTGGAAGAAAACAAAGACATTTACTGGCGTCCCTGCCCTTCTCTCCACTCCTGGGCAAACTTTTTACCCCTGAGCGGCTCTAAAGGCACTATACAATGGTGGTTAATATGATCAATAATAATTATAAATATATATCTAAATCATTCCACCTGACTCTCCTCCAAAGTGGCCCTAATAAGTCTCATACTCTTCTAGCCACCCTGGTTTCCTGCGTTCCCTTCCCCTTTTTCCCGTAACCTGGACAGGTTCAACAACATCTGGCCCCGGAATTTCGACATTTCCAGTTGTTTCAAGTTCATTAGCAGATTTTTCTTTGACTTTTGGAACATACTTTTTTAGTCGGTCGTGGTGAATGACTCTCTTATCATTTTCATTAATTTTGATGAGGTAACGGAGATCGTCTAACTTTTCCACCACCTGATACGTACCATGCCATTTAAGCGCGAATTTTGATGTTTGACCCACTTTCACAGCCGGAATATGAACCCAAACTAGCGAATCTTTTTCGTACGCTTTCAGATTGGTTTTCAGATCATAACCCCTCTTTTGCCTATCACTTGTCAATTGAATATTATTTCGGGCTGCCTCATGAATATTGAGCATCATGTCTTGCAATTGCTGACAATAGTTGGTGTAATAATCATCATCCAACTTCCCTTGCTCAATCTCAGGAGGAGGCCCGAGTAATTATCGATCAATATTACTGTCTTAAATCTCTTCACTCCCTAATGGAATGCTATAGATTTCTATACAGTACTGAAAATTAACTTACCCAAATGCCGATGCCTCTACGCGTGTCGAACGCGACGTCCATGTGACAAATATTCTCTGAAGCTTTTAGCCTATCGTCAAAGCAAATCTGAGCTAGCCGAAAGTTAGTCTTAGCGAATGCGTTTAGCAGATGATAGATCTCGATCTCAGCTGTGCAAAGACACTTGTTTATATAGCAACAGATGGACATACGCAATCTTGGAGACGACGTAGGTAAAAATATATGTAATGTTGCTAAAAATGGGATATTACCAAGGTTTTTAGAGGTTTTTTAGAGCTACGTAGGGTAGTAAAAAGGCAGAAAGAGCAGCTTATTGGACAAGAATTATGAGGTAGGGACTGAAAAATGATGTCACTTTGAAAAGTGACGCAAAGTTGAGACTGCAAATTCAGCGCTTTACAATGATAAATAGGTTTTCTCTATAAAAATACTAGCTCTGATACGATGATTCTGACATACGTATTGCAATAATGTGATCATGTTAAAGGGACATGATGTGGTTAAATGCTGATTATAGATATTAAAGGAGCACACACTGGTTAAATATGATATTATGAATAGCTATATACAGGGTGGGTCTCTACAACTACCCCCTTCTTAAAAAATTCAGGTTTGTCCTCAAACACAGAAACAAGCTAATTAAACTAGCTTCACTATTGTATTGCCAAATATTTACAAGAAAATCACTCAAAAGTCTATAGAGTTCTTAATTACAAAGGTCAAACAGTGCATCAATATCATGATCGTCTAACGACATGTCAGGCCCCGTCAGGGCGGGAATGTCCTCATCAGCAATGCTGGACCACCACGGATCAACATCCTCCGCCACGAGTCCTCGAGCAGCGGGCGCGTCATCTACTGAAGGGCAGAGGGATGTTGAAGGTTTGGCCGATGAGGTGACCAATGTCTCCTCCCTTGCGCTCTCCATTTCCTCCTTCCGGGGACGCACGGCGGCTTGGAGCTGGGGCGTTGAGATCGACGCGGGATCGACCCCCAGCTCCTGCCCCGTGCCATCCCCCCTTCAAAGCTCGCGTCCTCTCCTCCTTTTCTGGGGCGGCTCCCCGGCAGCAGCCTGCTGACCCCCACCGGAGGAGGTGGAATGGCGCTTCCGGTGGAGGGTCAGCCTCTCCACTTCTGCTGGCGTGAAGCGAGCGTCACATTCACCTACTTCGCACGGCACCGACTTCACGTGACAACATTCCCTATGCGTCTCCCATTCTTCAGAACTCACATATTGTTTAAGACAGCGGTAAGGCCGCCCAGCCGGCCATCCTTTGGGTGGCTCACCGCCCATCTGGCACACTTAAAATAAAATAAAACTCTTACCCTCTTTACCCTACTAGAAAGGTTTTAAGTATTTTTATACGAACCTCCCCTAGGGTCTTAAGGTACTAGTTTTCTTGATATTTAATTAATACATATATACTTGACCATATTGAATTAGAATGAACATCTTCTCATCCCTTTTTCAATCTATTCAAGTCTTTACAGTAAAAGTTAATCCTCTACGATGAAAAAGGGCTAAAAGAAAGTTTATAAGAATGGGTATAAGCCATAAGCACAAGTCAAATCACAATTAAGATAATCGTTAAAGTAATATAGGATAAATGTACATGATAAGAATATTAAGGCACTTGACTCGACTTATGAAATCTGAAGTGAAACTACTCTATAACATAATCAGTCAGCCATTCAGGTTTCTTTCGGGTCCTTTGCCCTCTAGAATTTCCAGTCTCATTTTCTTTAATTTCAGGGGCATTCTCAAAATCTGAGGGTTGGGAATTCTCAACAGGGGTTTCAGTCTCTTGATCTAGACTCTCATTAGTATTTTGTGAAATGAATGTTTTGAGGCGGTCGTGGTGAATGACTCTTGTATCTCTCTCATTAAGTTTAATTAGATACCTTAAATCATCTATTTTCTTCGCCACCTCATAGGGTCCATGCCACTTTAGAGCAAACTTAGGAGTCTGGCCAACCTTCACAGCTGGTATATGGACCCAAACACGCGATCCCTTTTTGAATGACTTTAAATTTGCTTTGACATCATACCCTCTCTTCTGTCGGTCACTAGATAATTTGATATTGCCGCGAGCCGCCTCGTGAATATTGAGTAGAACTTCTTGTAATTTTTCACAGTATTTTGTATGACATGTGCTATCAAGTTCTCCCCTCTCAATTTCAGGAGGAGGCCCGAGCAACAGATCGGTGGAGGTCCGAACCTCCCTTCCGAACATCAGAAAATTTGGGCTGTAGCCAGTAGTAGCATGAACAGCACTGTTGTAAGCAGAAACAACAAAGGGGAGACATCGGTCCCAGTCCCTCTGATCAGATGCAACAATTTTAGACAACATAGCCTCCACAGTCCTGTTTGATCTTTCTACCATACCATCAGACTGTGGATGATATGGAGTCGTTCTTGTCTTACTCATGCGGAACATTTCACATAATTCTTTGAACAGTTTTGATTCAAATTGGGTACCTTGATCGGAATGAATTTGAAGAGGTGACCCATAAATACAAATGAAATGGTGCAGCAAAGCTTCTGCCACTGTGGCAGCTTCTTGATTAGGGACAGGAACCAATGCCAAGACCTTTGTGAAATAATCTTCAATTGATACCACATACTTGTTCCCCAACAGACTTTCTGGTAAAACCCCCAAAATATCAATGGCTATTCTCTCAAGAGGGGCACCCACATTGTATTGTTTCATTGGTGTTAGATGTTTCTTATTGGGTGGATTTCTCCTCTGACACAAAAGGCAACCTGCTACCCACCTAGCAATGTCAGACTTGAAACCAACCCAATAATATTTGGCCCTCAAACGATCAAGAGATTTATTGACCCCAAAATGCCCACTGTCAAGAGCCCCATGAGTCATTTCTAAAATGGTTTGGCGCATGTTCTCAGGCACCACAATTTGCCAGATAATGATCCCAGTGTCAGTATCAACCCATTTTCGATAAATAACTCCCTGTTCCAATTTGAACCTGTCCCACTGAGACCAGTAATGTTTAAAGGTAGGTGATTTGTCCGATACGTCTGCCCAGTCGGGTCGGTCCCCCACCTTAAGCCAATTGTTGATTGTTAAAAGACATGGATCCTGAGCCAAGGCCTCTTCATACTCTTTGAGAGATATTCCCGGTGCCCAAGTGCACCCTGAAACAGGAAGATTCCTCAATTTGGGAGTATGAACAAGCTCTGGCTCTAAGTTTGAGTCAAAGGTCATGTCAAAACTTAGAAGGGATTTGGCAACAATCAGGGGCGGAAATTTTTCTCTATCTGCCAAATTCCAATTCATTTCAATTAACAAAGGTGTATCACCCAAGTGTTGACATTGTACTTTTCCGGGAACAATCATTTCTGTCATGGGAGGCACTCTGACAGTATCTTGCATCAAAATTCGGCACTTGGTAGACAAATCAGTCTCTAATATACAATCACGCTTGGCCCTTGCATATAATGTCAACGTGACCGTTCAGAAATACACTAATTTGAACCAATTCCCCGGGAATTAGTATCCCCGAGCGTAAATCAAGTATATAAAATGAACCAAAATTATGTTTGGACACTTTACTACGCCTTAAAAGTTACAGACACATATAGAAATAAACGGATTCTTGCGTTTATTAAGATAAATGCGTGTTCAGCTAACAAAAACAAACACTTCTCGCATTCCGTAGGCGGCCGTGAAATTGGATAATTCAGGTCACCAAGCAGATGTGCGAATTGTATTTTGGTTTTGTCAATGTAAAATCACACAAAACTTGCAACAAAAGTGTTCAAAACTAACGATTACAATATTTTGGAACTATCAATCGATCTCTAATGCACAATGAATCATGGGAAATAAGGGAGGTTAACTACTTGGCTTCTTACTTTGGCGGCAAAGATCAAACCGCGCTAAAGTTGTGAACACTAATTTGGAATTATTCTCCACTATTTCTCACGGTCTTCTATCGTTCTAAACGATCTATGATCGAGCTAAATAGACAATAGAATACTTCCTTTCCAGAATCACCGACCAGCTAAATAATTGATAAATTAAACCGCGCGTTGACTTTTTAGAATGACAATTTGATGTTTTCTTGCTATTTCTCTCCTGTTC